AGAGAGAGAGAGAGAGAGAGAGAGAGAGAGAGAGAGATCACAAATTCCTCTATAATGGGACAAAAATAAGCTGGCAAGCTCATTAGACAATTAACTTGGTTCTGCAAGCAGGAAGTTATCTTTGAACATTTTAACTTAGTATTTGTTGAATAAATAAGTTCTATCCATATTTTGTTGGCTATGTCATGTTCTTTTGGTTTGGTAATTGTAAGAGCTAAATATAGCTGTAACAAATGAGATTTTACATGAAGTGGGGCTAATGGCAAATGGTGCAGATTTATTCTTGAGTCTGTGCAAGTAAATGAGTTTTTAATGTGTAATTGTCCAAAAAGTAAAACAATCGCTGGAAAACAGAAGTTGGAGCAAATACAAAAGTGACCTTTAGGAGGCGGAAACAAACATAAACCGAATGTAGACAACCACAATTTGTGTTAGTGAAGAAGTGCTCCGCCGCAAACGCTTGTGGGTAATGCAGTTTTTGGTTGCACTGTTCCTACGGAATCTCGGTTGTCAAAAACTACAACACCCGCCTGTCTTTGGTCGAGACGCTTGTTGTAAGGATACATTTTTTAGTTTCCAAATAATTGACGGAGCCGTAGCGACGTAAAGACAAACTGAGATACTAGCAGAGTAAAATTCAACGTAAGTTTAAAAAAGCTGTTTTAATTTTTGATGGTTTTTTTTTTAGTGCAGGTTGTGTAACTTTGTCGAAAATTTTACCACAAAGGATGGAGAGTCAGTGAGTCGTGTGCTTATTATGTGGGTTCTACAGCCATGCATAATAACACGCTGTACCTGTCCATTAACCAATAATATGTATGCATTTATTCTATATTCATTTTACTAATGAGTTAAACTACTGACAGGTGTTTCAGAATCGAGAGCATCTAGAAACTACCTTGCAACAGTAATCAGTCAACTGATTGTCTCCCAATTATTTTTTTAATGCATTTTAACAAAAACAATCTACGTAGAATGATATTCAAAGTGAAAAATGTAAAATTTAGCAGGCTGGATGCAATAAGTTTCCTGTTCCTGTCTGATTTAGTCGATTAGTTTGTCAGTAAAGTGAACAATCATGTCTGCAGTGCAAAGTTGAGAATATTTGTATGTTATTGTTTTTTCAAAGTCACTCTTACTTCATAATTCAAATAGTTTACAGCCATATTTGTAGAAATGTCTTGAAATAATCTTCTGGCAGTCTCACATGTAAAAGAGTTTGACCACCACTTTTTTTTCTCTGCTAATGACTCAGTTTTAAAAAAAAATCACCTAATTGTGGTATTTAAATGGTCACAGAAACGTGTTTTATTTCTTTATTTTTCTTTCTTACTCAGTCATTTTGTTGCAGATTTAATCGTCTTTGTTCTCTTGTTTTAGATCTCTTATTGTTGTTCAGATGCACCTTTTCAAAAACACTTATTGTAACTAAAAGAAAAAAATTGTGTAGGTCTTCTGGACGGGTTCTTCATTAGAGAAGAACCCGTCCAGAAGACCTACACAATTTTTTTCTTTTTGATTTTTTTACCTGGATTACTGAGATGCATCAGGACACTTATTGTAACTAAGACCTGTAGAGTCTGAGATTTGTCACTTTTTTCAGTTCCCTTGAGCATTAAACTGTCTGACCCTGCTGTGAACCTGCTGTGACCTCCACCCTTTTACAAAGATTGTTGGCTCTCTTGAATGTTGTTCTCTTGTGACTGATTATTACTACTGCAGAAAGATGGACTCCAAATTGTTCGTAAATGTCCTTATAACCCTTCCCAACATGATGGGCAGCAACAGTCGCTCCTTTTGCAATCATTTCTGACGTCTTCCCTTTTTGGCATTCTGTCGACAAACACCTGAATGCCTCAGTGCAGCAAAATGGCAGACTTCTTTTAAGAGTTGTTCAATTGATAATCTTCAGTGAACTAATTGCTTTTGATGAGCTTCACTGCTTCTAGCACACCACCACTGCTCCAGAGTTTTAGCTTTGTTTTTGCAAAATTAATAATGTGTCAGTTTTGTTTATCTGACAGAACTTTTCTAATTTTCTGATCTAATAAGCGGCATTTGTTTTTTTCTTTACTTTATTTTTTTTGTATGTATGTCCGGATATATAAAACTTTATTTTTTGAAACAAATTGGTTTTACTTTTACCCTGGCTCAGTTCCAGAGATAATCATAATGATCTACAAGGAGCTGTAGGACATCGAGGGTCATTAGCTGCGTTACAGAAACACCAGGGAAAAATCACTTTCAAACCGGATTTTTAAATGAGCCTCTTACTTCAGAATCTGGGAAATAAATGACAACTCATGTGAAGACACCCTGAGGCAGTTAAGATTTTCATTGACAGGTGCACAATTAAAATGCTTTGGATAGGTCAGTTTTTACACAAAACWCAAGGTGGAGAATACTAATTAACATCAGCATGGCTCCCTCCAGGAGACCCCAAATAACTGATTAATAAGTATACAAAATACTTTAACACATCTACTTTAAAGCAAATTTTCTCTTTTTTTCTTCCAGCTTTGATTTTAGTTTCTGTCAGTCCACTGATTCTGATTTAATCCCTCATATCGACGTGTCTCAGACTGTGAAGACGTCATCCAGGAATGGAGTTCCCAGAAGATTTCAACCAGCTCGAACTTCTCGACACACATGGAGACCTGATTCCTCGAGGAGCCAGAAGTTCCTGGACGGCCAGCAAGGATGACGAGGCCGAGGTGGACGAGGGGGAGCGCACTGAGGAGTGGTACCAGAAGAAGGAGGAGCTGCTCAAAGACAAACCAAAGGAGCTCATCCTGTGGGCGGCAGAAAACAACCGTGTAAGTGTTCCGATTGTTTTAAGTAGGAGTTTTATTAGGGAAGAGTTATGAATTATTACTTGAATGTCATGATTTTTGGCATTTTTGAATTTCTGGCCATCAACTTTTTGTTTAAAAAAAATCTTAATGAATTCTTAATAGCTTTCAGTTCTCAGTATTACGTCAAAGTAACTGGATGTGATGTTATCCTCATTTAACTTTTATTTTTCATTCTTAGTATTTAAGACTGAAATATGTAGGAGTCTGTAGTTTAATGCAAGAAAAGCACACAGCTTTTTTCAGTTGCAATAGATGCACTTTTAATTTTTTTGAGAATTTCTCTACTACCAAATCTGCATCTGTCAAACATTTTAGTCGTTCAGGTTTCTTAGTACCATTGCAGTGATCAATCAAATCTGCTGTACCAGCGTTTCTTATCTGCTTTTCCTCCAAGTTCCTTATAGTTCCTTACTTGAAACTTTTGTTTTTATTGTTGCAAGATGATAAAATTTCCAGCAGATATGTGGAGAAATAAGCTGAAACTCACAAAACACTTCCAAGCCAGGCTTGATATATATTTATTTTTGCTTGATTTTGTGTAGCTTGTGAAATGACTGAGGCAGTGTTGTGGGTTGAGGTTATCTCACTGCTGTTATGCTTCTGTTCTCTCCTTGTACTTGAAAACGTAGGAGATATATATATTTTTTCAATCATCTAGAAGCAGAGGTTTAGGGCATGGCTGTCCTGGAGACAGTCTCCTGATAAAAAGGCATTAACTCAGGTCTGGGAAGAATTTAGGGCCGTGTGTTCATGGGMTTTGGAAATCCAGAAATTAATCTATGGATGCTTACCGCCAGTTTTCATGATGACAGAACAGAAAGAGAAGAGGGAGGAAAATATGTGTTCATCACAACATTATATTGAAATTACAACCTGTCATCTGGATTGTGTGACTTTCCACAGAACACCTCTTCAAAATAGATGAACTATTGCTTTAACATTTACTTGTCATAAACATTGTCAAACACACCTAATGATACAGACTCCTAACCTCTCAGCTGTTTCCAAACTTAATGGGATCTGATAATATTTACTTTAATCACAGTTCAATATTTATTATGATTTGAACACGATGTTATCATTAAAACAGGGAACTATTGACTGTTTTATGTATAAACCCTATTTTCTGCCTAAAATGTGGAGAAAAATCCATTCTGTAATGCATCTCAACCTTATCGTTTCTAACAATCAGCTGCTGTAATTTTCGCGGTGGTGTCGCTGTAATGGGCCATACAATTATATTTCCTTTCCTTAGCTCTCTCCTTAATTACAGCATTTAACCCTGTGCTGCTGGCATCATTTTCCTCTCAGCGAACAGCTTGAATCTTTTCTTCCTCTCTTCGGTCCCAGCCAGTTTTGCCTTTAGAATAATCAGCCAGGCACGACTGCATCTGCACAGAGTGGACGTTTAGTGAAGATGAATTTGTACTTTTCCATTCATCTGACAAATCTTGGAACTATTAAAAAAATAAATCTAGTGCACCTGCTGGATAATATCCTGACAGGCAGGTCAGGGTTGAGGCACTCGCACACAGACTCACACAGACTCACAAAGAAGACAAGAAAGCCTCATTGAAGACAGATGCTTTGTAAAATGAATTAATAGTGGAAGATTGGCCGGTGGGGGGGGGGGGGGGGGGTACATTCATTTAACTGGTCGAAATCCAACAACTGCAAGTAGACATGGTAGTAGCACTTAGCTTGAATAACCATCTCTTACTGTGGCTGGATGTAATTTAACTCCATTAGAATGGTAAAAGTGCTACTTTAAATCTGCAATCTTTTGGTCCATTACTGTATGTGGACCCTGAGCTTTTAGGTCTGAACAGATAAAAAGGATGGARGCTGCAAATACAGTAAATTCCTGATAAATTTCTTGTTACAGTGTTTCCAACACAGTTGGTTCTGTTTAAAAATAAGCATTTTCATTAAAGAATGTTTCTGCTCTTTCCTCTCTGCCTCTCAACAAACAGTTTGCAAGGAAGTCCATCAACACTCCTACGCGTTCAATAAGCTGCCCCTAAACTTTTTACAACTACGTTCACACTGCAGGCAAATCCGACCCAAATCCGATTTTTTTTTACCCATCTGACTCATATCCGATTTTTTTATGACAGTCTGAACGAGACAAATTCGATTTTTTTCAAATCCGACCCAGGCCGTTTCAGTATGTGGTTTTAAATCGGATARATATCTGATGTTTTCAAAGTGACTGCAGTGTGAACGCTCATGTCACATTCCATCTGACTTTTTCATCAGGAGGAGGGGGTGAAGGATCGATAAGACACTAACGTCAAGTCTCGCTGTTTAAATCTGTAGCTCCATGTGTTTACAGCTCCAAAACACAAGTCCACTTGCTTCATCTTTTTACTTTTCATTAGTATGATAATAACGATGTCCAGCCTGGGTCACGGAGAGTATCGATCCTAAAGTTAGCTACTCTGTCGATACTTTTTTCCAGCTCATAGTTTCGTTTAAAAAAAAAAGCTTCACTGGAGCATCGCGGTCAGAGGCAGSTTCAGATATAAACACTGAACTAAAGAAGCAGGTCAGATAATTATTTAATCGACTCTGATTAAACAACAACTTCCGATTCGATGTGCAAAATGTAGCATCCATGCTAGCTCTGTAAACAAACAAGGCGGATGATGAGACGTCACGTCATTTACTGRGCATGCGTGTCACATCAGTGCTGTGMAGCGTTCACACAGGGGTCTGATGCAGGTCACATTTAAAATGTAATGTGAACGTTCACACAAAAAGATCGGATTTTTTCAAAAAAATTGGAACTGAGCATTAAGACCTGCAGTGTGAACGTAGCCATTMTTCTGTTTGAATGGAAATCACTCAGCTTAGAAACTATTTTAGGACTTGGAGGCACACAAAACTCAATTTCCTGTGCTTCATGAGATATGTGGAGTGTGGGAGAAATAATATGAAGAGTTGGAAACTCTGAATATCAAACTAACCAAAGTTGCTTTTTTTCTATTCTATGTATTGTTTGTGGATCAAAAGCACTCATTTCAGCATCAATGGGCAAAATTACCAAGGAGGTCAAAGTGTTCTTATTAACAGTTTTTTTTTTTTTAGATTTTTCCTAAATTCAAAACGAGAAAAAGAAACATCTTGAGGTTCACTCCCATGTCTTGCAGAAAAGTGCGAAGGAAAAAATCAATAACAGTGTGAGTTTTGCATGCAGAGACGCGATGGACAGCGTGCACACTGAGTGAACTCTTTTAATGCACCCGGAGACCTTTTCAATGCACGAAGCCTTTTGTAAAATTAGACCCTGTGGATAATGTAACAAAAAAAAGGTAATAATCTCAGGCTGATTTAATCACAGTATGTTACGTACATAAGAACTGTTGCCACGTAACAGTTTTCTGCAGCTCACAGCACAGCTGCCTGGTTAACATTTTGCTCTCTAGGGTTTCGAAAAATGCTTTGTAATTCTTGAATGCATAAATAAATAATTTGCACAGAATGAAACTGTGGCACATTTTCCATAGTCCGTTGCAAAAATTTACTAATGATAACAATGGGATATAATGTTAAACCAGTCTCAAAAGAAGCTGTGACACAGTTTTTGATACTACTCTGCACCATTTCCCACATGTTAGTTATTGGTGAAATCAAAAAGAAAAAAAATTGTATAGGTCTTCTGGACGGGTTCTTCTCTAATGAAACGTTTCGTCTCTCCTCCAAGAGACTTCTTCAGTRTGAGAGTTTCAGGCAAAATTCAGGCTTTTAAGCKCTGCCTCCATGTGACTGATACTCACATCACATGGCTATCGTTGACACCTAATTAACACRTATTGTTAACAGGGGGTGGAGTGATACTGGCAATAGCCGCACTGTAGGAGGGGGACAACTGAAAACGGAGGCCTCCACCTCTGTTTAATGATGGACGGTCTTTCTTCACAAAAATGGCTTCTTTTACTCCTCTCTCAAACCAACGTTCCTCTCTATCAAGAATGAGAACATCCTCATCTCTGAAAGAGTGACCGCTGGCCTGTAAATGAGTGAAAACTGCAGATTTCAAAAGAATGTCCCAACACAGACGAGCTACATCTAATGGCCAGAACTCTGCAGTTTTCACTCATTTACAGGCCAGCGGTCACTCTTTCAGKGATGAGGATGTTCTCATTCTTGATAGAGAGGAACGTTGGTTTGAGAGAGGAGTAAAAGAAGCCATTTTTGTGAAGAAAGACCGTCCATCATTAAACAGTGGTGGAGGCCTCCGTTTTCAGTTGTCCCCCTCCTACAGTGCGGCTATTGCCAGTATCACTCCACCCCCTGTTAACAATAGGTGTTAATTAGGTGTCAACGATAACCATGTGATGTGAGTATGAGTCACCTGGAGGCTGGGCTTAAAAGCCTGAATTTTGCCTGAAACTCTCAGACTGAAGAAGTCTCTTGGAGGAGAGACGAAACTTTTCATTAGAGAAGAACCCGTCCAGAAGACCTATACAATATTTTTTCTTTTTGATTTTTTACCTGGATTACTGAGATGCATCAGGACTTATTGSTGAAATGTTTTAATTCAGCCCCATCTCTCTCTATTGGTCTGCCTGTCCTGCTGACCCTGCTGGGCTTTGTTATGCACGTTATAATATTGCAGTAAGAGAGTAATTCTAAGTAAGATAAAATGCAAATAGAAGCAGTTCAGCTGAAAGATGCTTTCATAAACAGCGCTCCTATTTTCAGTGACTTTTGAGCTGAAGCTCTGTTTTTATTGTGAGTAATGCGAAATGAGCACCTGTCGGTTATGTGACACTGAACGACACGTTCTTTGAGGGTGAATGGCTGCCGTAAAGTGAAAGTGCAGCACGTCTTTCTCAGTAAACAAAAGTGCAGCTGTTTGGTTGTTTTCTTCCGTCGACAGCTCATTCAGCAGCACGGCCGAAGCTCTGTCTGCACAGCTGAGAGCTGCAGGAGCAACTTCAAAGTTCAAACATCAGAGCTGATGATCATTTCAAACCTTTTAGGTTTTATTTTTAACACAGCAAAGCAAAAATGTTGATCATCATAAGGGCACGGAATAAAATGAGTGGGGTGTTTTTCTGTGTGCCAGATGTTGAAAGCTGTCCATGCCTCACTAAGCTGTCGAGGAACCAGGTGGATTATAGTTCGGACTGTTGGAGTAAATTTTGATAGGTTTATCACTTTTCTGTCTCTCCAGAAAATACATTGGACCTCTAAATTTAATACTTTATATAAGAATGGCTGCCTTTGTTGTTTATTTACATAAGAAAGCAGCACTTTCAGTGAGCTAAGATGTGTCATCCTGCAGCTTCTTCTGTAAAAAAAAAWAAATAAATAAAAATAAATGCCATGAGTCTGACTGGAGACACATTACTTTGACTCTTTGTGTTTAGTTTATCTTTTTGTAGTTAATAAATTGTCTTTTGTAATTTTGCACACAAGCAAGCATGTGGTTTAGTCACAATTTGTCTTATTAAACAGCTTGTATGACCTCAGTTCAGTGGAAATGCAATATTAAACTGATGTTAAACTAAATAGAAACCTTTTATTGGAAGTAGGAATGAATCATTGAGGCAAGTTTGTATTGGCAGCCACAACTACAGCATAAATGGTTAAATTGAAACTCATTGGACATTCATCTTTAGTCATTAAATAGACCCCAATGTATGTTTGTATGTTTGATCAAAGTGCCTTTTATGGATTTTCTAAACATGGAAAAAATACTACTTAAAATATGAATGGATGAATCATGCTTTACAAGGAGATGACCTCACTAAAACTTAAGATGTGTTTGAAATTCTAACAGAGTTTGTAAGTAAGAATATTTCTGAAAATGTACCTCTTTAGTCTTCTGGTTTGTAATATTCAGAATCTCTGACTTTTTTTTTTAGCTTTCAACCATCCTCCGTTTGTTAGCAGCCGACCCTCTGCTGGTGCACACCTGTGATGAGGATTGCTACACGCCGCTGCACCGCGCGGCGTACAGCGGCCACGTCGAAGTCGTCTGTGCGTTGTTGGCCGGCGGCTCCGAGGTGGACCCCCGCACCATCGACGGCTGGACGCCCCTGCACAGCGCGTGTCGATGGAGCCACGTCGCTGTGGCCAGTTGTCTCCTGCAGCACGGCGCCGAGCTTAACGCCCAGACCAACGGCGGGCTCACGCCGCTCCACCTGGCCGCCTCCTACACCAGCTCCTCAAAAATAGACTCCACGCACATTTTAGAGCTGCTGCTCTCGAAGCGGACCCTGCGGCCCGGGCTCCACAGCAGCAGTGGAGAAACGGCCGGTGACGTGGCCCGACGTAGCGGGCCGCATTACTTCCTGTTTGAGATGGTGGAAGACTGTGTCAGTGTGGTGCCATCCTAATCTGATTGCTGCTTACATTTTCTTTAGTTAGACTTGTTTTCTATTGCCTGATGTGATTTAGTTATTCGTGGATAAATAAAGGTATTTGTTGACGTGTTGCATCTGTATGTTTTTAAATGTGATTTCATAATGCTGCAAATTAAAAAAAATAGTTGAACTTGAGAAATGCTTTAGTTTCTATGAGTTATTTGAATTTGTTGTTTAAATATTTTGTGTTGCAGTAGAAATTCAATATGTCTGAAGAGTGTTTCAAAAAGTTAGTTTTTATGTTTGAATTATTTTAATAAATTTAGAAAATATCTTGCAGTAATTTGTTTAATGAATAGCTAGTTTTGTGTAAAGTTAAATTAAAATCCAATCTGTATGAACATTTCTTCTATTATAAGGCCCTGAAAGACTAAAGAATGAAGCAAAAGCAGGTTTAAGTAGTTCTATTTGAACTCTGTGTACTACTTCATGTAATACTTGTCTTTTAAGACCTGTTGCCCTTTGGGTCAGAATGACCCTGAAGGTGAAGAGGAACAGGTTGTTGTGACATCTTCCTCCTTCCCACACAGACTGACTCACAAAGGATGAGGGCAAGTTTTCAGAGCGGTTGCCACATCTGTACAGAAATATAGTATTCATTTGTAGAATCTTTAAATCTGCTTTTAGAAAAGGTGTGTGTACTGTATGTTAAAACAAGCGTGGCCTACATTTTGTTGGCTATTCATAGAGTCCAAGGATATCTTGAAGGGATGATTAGTGACCTCGCTCTGAAGGCAACGCTCCTTCATTCTGCACAGAGATTTCTAGTCAAATAAAAAAAAAACAGCTGCTGGTAAATAAAAATATATCAGAAGGATCAAAGCAGCACAATCTTTTAAAAGCATCGTTTTCTTACGTAGATATTTAGCAATTTTTGATTGAAAGAAAAATAAATGGAGCCAACAGCAGGTGTTACAAAGCTACATGCAATCTGTATAATTGTTATGTGCGTGTGGGAGAAAAATGTGAAATCAGGAGCAGAAAATTGTGTTTTCAGCAGACTGAAGAGAATTTAAAAGCCTGTCTATCCCGGGGTTTTCTCAGTTTATCACGTGTTTTTGTTGTGAACACACTGGTTGGTTTTATAACTATTACTTTTAACAGGTGAACATAAACAGTCAGCGGTCTTTTACAAAGGTTTAGACACTTCAAACTTGTGATGTGGTAATGCACATTGAAAAACCTTTATTAAACCACCAGATCAGATTTTTTGTTAGTTTTTCTTTATTTCAGTATTTACTGGCTGCTGGAAAGGTAATAATAGTGTTAATTTTGGTGTTTGTGTGCATTTTACCAAAATGTTTCATCAACCAGAAGACTGGATTTACGAAATGTACAGAAAGTCCTTTTTGGAGGTACTGTGTTAGAAAAATATCTTAGTAACCACTGGACAGATTTGTATGAAACTCCATAGTGAAAACACCACCAATGTTATTTAACATCATCAAACCATGAATATAAAAACTCTACACACCCTGTTAAAACAGACATATGCTTTAAATTCTTCATTTTCACATTCAAATCATTCAGTTGGGTTCTTTATAAAGTGGGACGACAACGCTTTGTTCTGAATTCCTTCTTATTTTACCTTTACCAGCCTCTTTTTCAGCACTGTTCTGTTGTGTCTCAAAGCAGCTCGTTTTGTTACTGTTCCTTTAAGGTGCTTCAAGCTCCACCCCCTCCGGCTTCRAGACCGGTCCACTCCTGTTTGAGAGAGTGGTTAGGCATTTTACAGCTTGCAGAAGTTTTATTAAGAATTTAATTAAAATATGTCAACAACAGACTTGTTCATTCCGCTTTACATGTTGGAGCCAGAGTCTGACCTAGAACCAGACGAGATAAAAGACAACCAAATTGTATTTGGTAAGTCCAGACCTTATTTGTCAATTCTGTTGCAGATGATTTGACATAAAAGTTCAGAAAATGTCATAGAAAATAGAGAAAACTGAAAGGACTGAAAAATATGACCCAAACAGAAGATAAATATGTATTTGCAGTACAGGGATAGACAAAATTCAAGTTTTCTGCCTCTTGGAGACTCCAAGAACACAACAAAATGTTTTTAACAGTTAAAGTGGATTTTGTATATTTTGTCCTCTATTCCAGGGTTTTGTGATGTAAAAAMTCAAACAATTTCAGAACTTTTTCTATCTTTAATTTGAACTTTAACCTGTACAACTCAATTGAAAAACGAACTGAAATACTTTAGGGGTGGGGGGGTAATAAAAAAATATGAAACTACAATAAGGTGCTTGCTTAAATATTCACCCTCTAATGGGGGTGTGGCTCTGCAGAATTAACTAAGCACATTCAAACTCATGTTAAATAGGAGTCAGAACACAACTGACATCATTTAAAGTACCTCTGATTAACCCCAAATAAAGTTCAGCTGTATTTGGCTTTTCCTGACATTTTCCTACAGCATCTTACAGCCACGGTCCGCAGAGCTTCCAAAGCATCAGAGGGATCTTATTGATGTATTTGTCAGGAGAAGGGTTCAAAAGAATTTCCAAGGTAGACATACCAAGTGAAGACAGTTATCATCAAGTGGGGAAAATATGACACAACAGTGGCATTATCAAGAACTGGATGCCCATCCAAAATTGAATAAAAGACTAAATGAAAACCTGTCAGGATGTCTGCCTACAGCAGCATTGAAGGAGCTACAGGAAGTACTGGCTGTGACCTGTCAAAGTAGTCTCCCATATTCTGTATGTCTGAGTTATGGAGTAAAAATGTAGGACTGATGCCTTGTCCTGCACAGTAAAACATCTAAGTCTGACTAAATTTAGCAAAAACACATTTGAAGTCCCACAAAAACGCGGGGAAATGTATTAAGGTATGATGAAACCAATGTTGGGGGGTGGGGGGGATTCTGCAAAATCAACTTCTTCAAGCTTTATATCATGCTATAATTTCATTCCTTAACAAAAACACAGTGTGTTGCTGACTCATTCATGAATGACTCATTCATGCATYTTTGAGAAATCCTTGAATGTCCTGTGGTAGCCCTGTGGAGCTGCCTAAACACTTGCTGGTACAAAGCACCGCCTACTTGTACAAAGCTCCTCCCTGGAGGTCAATCTGACGTTGAGCTCCCACCCCACAGAGCAATGATTCCCAACCAGGGTTATGTGTACCCCTTGGGGTACGCAAGCATATTACAGGAGGTACGTGGAAAAATTTCCAAGATGTGTAAAAAATTTATAAAAATAGGAATGAAATGTATAGAGCTCTCTCTAATTTCCACAATGCAGAAATTGCAGACAGAATTAACATGAAATGGAATCTAGTATAAAACGTGGTATCTCACAAAATTTGCTCATTTGGGTGAGTTTCTGATGTATTTTGGAAAAATACAATGTATTTTGATGCTTCCTGCTTTATTCGTTTACTCATTTCACTTTCAAGGCAACATTTTTATCTTTATGTTTAATTTGAGTTGAAAAAATAAAATGACTGAAAATAATTTTCATTTAATAATCAGTTGTAGTACATTATAATTTTAGAGAATCATCATTACGTTTGACTGAAGGGGTACTAGTTGTATGACAAAATGGCTCAGTGGGTGCACAAGTCTAAAAAGGTTGGGAACCACTGGTCAAAAGTACTGAAACATTTCTACACTTTCAGGACCTCGGACAGTTCCTTCAGCCCTTCACACTGTCCCAGGTCCTGAAACATTCCAGCACTTTCAGGACCTCGGACAGTTCCTTCAGCCCTTCACACTGGGTGTGTCCAAAACGGCAGGCCGGGTCCAGGTGGGCCGGGTCCTTAGTAGACCGGGAAGACCGGAAGAAAGTCGCTGTGAATTTGGACAGTCTAGCCTTCAGCTTTCATTCCTGCTCTTACCCGGCGTTAAGTGTGGTCACCTAGCAACCGTGTTCGCGCTTCAAGAACTAACTATGGAGGTCGAAGCTAGTTTTTTCTTCATGGGGGGAGGCTGGCTTGGAGGCAGTCAGCGGTGCTCGCTGGCGGGACCGTCTGCTGACGTGTCCTGCCCTGGAGYAGGTACCAGCAGACCACGACTACTGCTAAAAAGCAAGTAATTTATCAAAATATCTTTATTTCTAAAATGAACTGTTTTTTGTACTATAATATGAATGGAAACCTATTAATATTATCTCGTTAGCATATTTTGTTATATATCTCAGTGATGTGGCAGCTGTCGATTGAGCCAGCCCTGCAAACCCTGTTGTTGGACGATTCAGTGGACAGTGAGAGGGAGCGTCCCAAAAACACTCTGCAGACCACCCATGATGTTCCAGATGTGATGATGGTCTCAGTTGTGGCACTCCAGCCGGTTCCTTCAGCACATCCAGCAACACTGCCAGAGACTTCCTGTTTTGTTTTTTTGTTTTACATTAAATGGTCAAGGGAGGGGACACTCGGGTTAATCTTGCCTTAACTGTAAATAGTTGTACAATGTTTCTTTTTTATTTCTGTAAATAGTTTTTTCTTTATATTCTTGTTCACGTTCATACATGTTTAAAAAATGTTAAGTTAATAAATTGAGTTATATTCATTTACTGTTTTTTTATTTCATTTATTTGGAACGCAACTACATAAAACAAGAGAACAATAACTACATAAAACAATAATAGAACAATTATTGAACACAACAATAACAGAATTTTAAAAAAATTACTTTGAAACAAGTCTTTCAAGTACTGAAAACAATCTGTCCATTCTCTCCCTGCTCTCCTGTGCTCTTCTCTCCTCTGCTTCTCTCTGCTGCCTCATGTCCTCTCTCTGCTGTCTCTTGTCCTCTCTGATCAGGTCCATCAGCTCATCYTCCCTGTCCCTTCGCCTCTTTCTCCCTGTTGGTGGCTGACTTCCTCCCTGACTTTCTTCCTCATCCATCTCCTCTTGGTCACCCACTGCTGCACTTGGCCCTGGAGTGTCCTCAGGGATGGAGGAAATTAGGACAGGAGGCGTAATGGAAGGCCTCTGTCCTAACACCTCATCCATAAGGTCAAACCAGGGCCAAGTAGTAGGGATGTGGATAAATTTTTAATCCT